ATAGAGCACAGATCTATCAGGATTCAAATGTTCAGTAGAAACACATGGACTCAATTGTGTGCTGTGCAGATTAAATAAAGAGAAAGCTTTCCAGGGTATTCGATTCCTGTTTTAACTCTAAAATTACACCTCACTTCACCATTCAGTACTCCGTCGCTCCAGCACTAACTCACCACTAACATATAACATTACCAATAAAACCTGCTTTCAGTAGCTTCCACTGCTCTGTATCTAAATCAATTATCATGACTATTCGAGATTTGGTACATTTTCATGACGTTTTGAGATTTTATTCAAGTTTCATGACTTTTCAAGATTTTCAATTTATATAACTTTGAGATTTTATACATTTTCATGACTTTTTTTGAGGTTTTGTTCAATTTTCATGGCTATTTGAGATTTGGTTCATTTTAATGACTTTTGGAGATTTTATTAATTTTCATGACTTTTTGAGAATTTGTTGAAATTTTCCGCTCTTTTTGGAGATCTTATTTAATTTTCATGACTTTTTCTAAATTTGATTAATTCTCATGATTTTCCAAAATTTTGTTAAATTGTCACAAATTTTTTTTTCAATGTTCATGGCTATTTGAGAGTTGGTTCATTTTTATGACTTTTTGGAGATTTTCTTAATTTTAATGACTTTGAGATTTTAATATTTGTCTTTTTTAGAATTTGTTCAATTTTTCCGGACTTTTTGGAGATTTTATTCAATTTTAATTACTTTGAGATTTTAATATTTGTCTTTTTTAGAATTTGTTCAATTTTTCCGGACTTTTTGGAGATTTTATTCCATTTTCATGACTTTGAAATGTTTATATTTAAGACTTTTTGAGAATTATGTCAGTTATTTCAAGCAGAGAGTTGGTTCATTTTTATGACTTTTTGGAGATTTTCTTAATTTTAATGACTTTGAGATTTTAATATTTGTCTTTTTTAGAATTTGTTCAATTTTTCCGGACTTTTTGGAGATTTTATTCCATTTTCATGACTTTGAAATGTTTATATTTAAGACTTTTTGAGAATTATGTCAGTTATTTCAAGCAGAGCTTATGATCAGCTAACAGACAAAACAATGAACCAAGAACACAATTCCAAACTGCTCAATAAAACCTGCTTTCAGTGTCTTCCACTGCTCTGTATCTAAATCGTTCTCCATTTTTATTTCTATTGAAAAATCCTGTTCGTGGTGACTACAATATGACCAAATTATTACATCACCATATGAATAACTTTATTTCATGATAGCAAATGTACATTATTATATAGTTAGTCTACTGGAAAAAAGGCGGGTACGAGACCAAGATTTTAGACACTGGTCAAATTTCACAATTCTTTATACCAATGTAAATAAAACAGCTAAAACGAATACAAGTCTAACTCTTATAAAGGCTACACAAGTTATTCAGTCAGCTTGAGGAATATTAGGCTGCTGTCACTTTAAAAACCCATTGTTCAGATCCAGTGTATCGACACCCGACCTGCTTGTAAAATCAGTGACCTCTAATGAACACGAAGACATGAAGCCAGTCCTTATTTCTCAAATGTTTTCCAAATTGAGCAACAGCTGACTTACTGACAAAGTCAGAATATTATGTAGGTGAGAGTCGAGTTAGTTTGCTTCTCATTTCACACTAGTTCAGCTTCATCAGACTGAAATTCTGCCACAGAGGTATAGGTACAATATCACTTGAGCAGGAAATTTCGCTGACAGTGATTTTGAATGGATCAAAATTGCTATTAATGCATTTATTATTATAATGCTGTATAAAGAGGCTTTTCTAAAGTGCTAATATTTCAGCAATATCAGTGCTGGGTAGGAATGGGTACCGAAACTCGGTATTAAAACCCATTTAATCCCACCTCTCACAATAGTGACCGTAAAGAAGCTCTAAAAACCTTACTGACTGATGTTTTAAAGCATTTCCTGCAAATATGGAACAAAGGGTCTCAATTTGTCAGATTGTCACATGACCAGAGCAGTTCAGTCTAGGATTAATATATGAATTCACATATATTCAGTTTAGTTGCGTGTGGTCATAGAATCAGTAAACATAGTGATGGGATAACAGTGAACTTAGGTTTACATAGAAATCCAAATGCAGTTGTTAGTGAAGACTGCACTGAAATGTTGCACTGACAAAATACTGCACTAAATTAAAAGTTCAAATGTTACAAATAAGTTACAATGTTGATGTTGTAATACTGGTAGCACTGATATAAAAATGTGATGTTATATTTGACAAAAAAGTAACAATTTTGAAAGGGTTACTAATGACACATCATTTGGATATTATCATGTTTGGGAATAATTTGGGATTAAACAATATTTCTTACATGTTTAACAAGCATTTTAGAAGTAAAATTAAACATCTAATCATCACGAAAAGACCAATGCGGATTTCAGAAAAAAATGTGCGATTAATTAGTTGATTTTTAAGTCGAGCACTCCCTTATCAAAAAGAGTTATATTTCAAGTTTATTTATTAAGTAAAGTTCAAGTATATTTTTAAGTATACTTTATGTAGGAAGTATACAAATATCAGTAGTATACTTGTAAGTGTACTATTTCAATACTCCTTGGGACTAAATTGGCCCACTTTCTAGTATATAAAAGTATAATTTAAGTATAACAGTAGTAAACTTTGAGTACACAACTGGTTTACCTCTATGTTTTTAGTTCGTACTGCAACTATACTGAAAGTGAACTAGTGATAGTTTATTAATTAAATACTTGTAGCATTTTGACGTATAGTCTCCAGTAAACTACTAGTTTAGCAGTTTTATACTGCAAGTATACTCGTAAGTTTCTTTAAGTGGACTTTACATCATACTTTAAGTATACTACTATATCCCTGTTTAGGTATTAATGTGTATATATGTTATTATATGAATACCTGAACATACAAAACATCAAAAGAACAGGGTATCTGCTTGTAAACAAAAACATTGTTTTCTAGCTTCATGCATTCTTTTTTAAACACTTGAATGCGCGTAAGTATCATAAGTAAAATAAATAAATAAACATTTTAAACAAAAAGCTGGAAAAAAAAAAGAGTCGATCAACACCCCAAAGCTCATTTTATTCCATAATGTTACACAGTTTTGATGCTGTTTTATGTCTGATGATCGTGTTAGATTACATGTGGAAGCATCGCTTGTTTTTCGGGTTTCTTCTTCGCTTGTGTTTTGGAAATTCTGTACAGAAGATGTGTAATAGCGCCCCCTACCTAACAATGAAAACATTCCCGGAGCACAAGTATAGTTCAAATTAATTTAGACTTTTTCTTAGCATAAGTATACTTAAATGTCATTTTAAGTATATTTCTGAGAAGTACATAAAAAGTAGACTAATTTGCTATTTTAGTTTAAAAGAAGTATACTAATAGCACACTTGAATAAACTTTTTCATAAGGGCTTATATATAGCCTACATGGATGATTATTTGAGCATCAAGTACAGACATAGTGCAGACATACATATTAAGGTAATAGAAAAAAATATAATGCTAATAATAAACAGAATAGAAAATAAATGAAAAAAACTATAGCTAAATGGTAATACAAATATAGATAAAACAGAATTACGAATGTGCAAATGTTTTAGGAAGTTATGTACACAACAGAGAGAAAACAGAATTATGAACGTGCTGTTTTACAGATTAAAAGTTTTGAGAAGCTGTACAGATGCACAGTCCTGAGATGTAATGTATTGTTCCGGTGGACTATAGCCTGAGGGAAAACACTGTTCTTATGCCGCTCAGTGATGATTTATCTGTGTTGGAACGCAAGAACAGAAACAATGTTTTCATATTGAAGGCCAAAATAGATCTCGATTATGTAAATTATGCGCATCCATGCTCTTGTTTTCCTCTTTGTGAGACGGCAGAAGTGACGCAACCAGAAACTGTAACGCGTTTCTCAAGCGCACATGAAAGTCTTCTTGTTTTATTTTTGCAAATGTCCCTTTAGGGGCTCCGTATTTTTATGACTTTTCGAGATTTTATAAAATTTTCATGACTTCGAGATTTTGTTCATTTTGATGACTTTTTTGAGGTTTTGTTCATTTATCATGGCTATTTGAGATTTGGTTAACTTTCATGATTTTTTTCATAATTGTATTCATTTTTTATCAGTTTCTGAGATTTTGATAAAAAAATTTTGTTCAATTTTCATGGTTATTCGAGATTTGGTTAATTCTGACTTTTGAGATTTTATTCAAGATTCATGACTGAGATTTTATTCATTTTTAATGACTTTTCAAGATTTTCAATTTTCATAACTTTGCAATTTTATACATTTTCATGACTTTTTCGAAATTTTATTCATTTTCATCAATTTCCAAGATTTTGTCAAATTGTCATTTTTTTTTTTTTTTTTAGATTTTATTTCATTTTCATGGCTATTCAAGATTTGATTAATTTCCATGACTTTGAGATTTTAATATTTATGACTTTTTGGAGATTTTATTCAATTGATGACTTTCAAAATTGTATTCATTTTCATGACTTTCCGAGATTAAATTGTCGTTTTTTTTTTTTTGTTTTTAGTGTTCATGGCTATTCGAGATTTGGTTCATTTTCATAACTTTTTTGAGATTTTGTTCAATTTTCATGACTTATATTATTTTCCATGACTTCGAGATGATTAATTTTCATGAGTTTTTCATGAGGAATCTAATGTTTCCATGACTTTACAAGAGAAACATCTGCAATTTTTTTATTGCAAATGACACAATTGCGTCACTAAAGATGACATGAGAAATAAACAGACTGAACATTCATCAAAACATACGATGGCACAAATGAACAGTCAACCAACAGAAAACTCAACTTTGCTTTGGATTTTTGCTTTCACTATTAAAATGCCAGGCTGGATTATTATAGCAGCTTTCAGTGTTTAATTCACAACGTCAACATGTCAGTTATTTCAAGCAGAGCTTATGATCAGCTAACAGACAAAACAATGAACCAAGAACACAACAATTCCAAACTGTCCTTCCGTTTCACAAAATATTTCATATTTTCCACTTTATCTGCTAAACAAACATTTCAACATTGCAATAGTGAACACTT